TGTTTGATCGCAAATATATTGATGCAGAGAATATACAGTCCTAATGAATTTTCACAGTTAAAAATATAATAGTATGGCCGGATAATCAGCGAAAAAAATCGGAAAGATTACGACGGCTCAAATCCATCCCTTTCTGAAAGCCTTTCGAAGGTGTACATAAGCGTAAGTTTCAACTTTCCATGACTGCTCAAAACATTTATGTGTAATATTGTGGTGCAGTATTTCCACTGACCAGACTTCAGTCTTCAACAAGTCTTCCTGTTGAAGCAGACTGACTGATACTTGATCATCGAACGTCGCCATTGTGTTATCACAAATGATTGCCATCAAGCGTCAGGAAAAGTTGTCTAGCTGAAATGTCCTCTTTATTAATATGCGCCATTTCCGATACATTTCTGTCATGACAGGTATCTGACACGTACTTCGATGTCAGCGACCAGTAGTTTGATATTGATGAAAGTAATATCTAGTTAGATGAGGGGTACACGCCCTCAAAAACCTTGCAATGATACCATCGTTGTGTGTAGGGAGCAGTTAGCAAAGCAGGAACCACAGGAAAGAGCGATCGCGATGTGTGATTGAGCATATTATTTTTGTGGCTACGGTAGTCGTGAAAAAATGACAAAGACGCAACAGAGCCAAGACTGAGAGAACTACTGATAACCATGAAAGCAATTCCATTTACTCCTTTAAGAGACACCAGAAGGATCTGAGCGGCTGAACTTAGCAATAGACAATGTCGTCTACTCCTTGAAAGGAGGGAAATTAAACAATATAAAAACTTACAAGCTATGATCCCTAGGTTTCTTTATGCACATTAAAAAACTGTCACTTATTCGCCTCGCAAGAATGACGATTCAACGTTTTCGACGAGATTCAAATTAGGATCTTACTGTAGCTAGTTCAACATTTGACTAACGTGGCTATCAGACTTACGTGTGGAAAAGCATATAGTTGTGTTCGATCGACTGAATAAGCCATGTTTTGATGATCATTGGAGGTACAGTTGTCCTAAATCACGTGACCACTTTGGGCAGTCGGTCATTCGCATTTGCATCAATTTGATGAGAAACGATTGCTCGAAAAAAAACCATTTTTAATAGAATACAGTACACAAATAAAGCACATACGGCGAGCCAGAGAATCGTAGTACTATTCACAGAGTTGATGTACTGAGCGGGGTGTAACCACTACCATGGGCGCCACACGACCGACTCCATGGAACATGAGTCTTCACCGACGTCCGAGCAGCCAGTTGAGGAACCACCGTCAGAACTGCAGGGGCTAAATGAACTGGACACGGGACTGACTTTGCAAGGCATGTTGTTGTCCGCGGAGCGAACACCGCATGGAGGGGTAGGCAGCAACGGGAACTGTTGGTAGGTGAACTTCTGCAGCGGCGGTGAGGTAGTGAAGTTGCAGCCAGAGGGAATGTTTAAAGTCAGTGGCGAAACCGGGGTCGGTGGCAGGTTCATATAAGGCGTGACACCGCAGACAGTGTTCAGTCCAACGGAGGAATAGTTAACGACGGGCAATGTAGAGGAGACCTGCTTGACTTTGGCTTCCAACGCCTGGTTGAGGTGAGACATGAGTCTGACGTGCAGGGCACGTTCCCTGCTGTACGGCGACGGCACACTGGACAGGAAGTGGAAGGCGGTGGACGCGCAGATCGTGAAACCGTCGACGAAGTTCTGAAGGGTGTCCAAGTTCAAGTTATGATGTCCGTGGCGACCGCCGCCGGCCGAGGCAGCGT